GTAGAGGAGGGACCTTGTGCCCCACTTTCCAGAAACGCCACATCCATTCCTGACAGTCTGGGGCTGTACTCCTCCGATACCAGCATTCTGTGTGTTGTCAGGGAAAAAACCCAATGAAAACGTAAAACACGACTTAAAAATGATTCAAAAAATACTTCAAAAGTAATGCAATGGCCCTGGTGGTCCTGGGGCACCACCTCGGAGGTGACGTCTGGCCGGGCTCTTCCTCTCCGGCTTCCCTGTTCCCTGCTTCTGGCTGCCCTGCTCTCCTCTGCCGTCCCTTCCACCGGCATCCCTGCCTTGGCCAACCTTTTCTCCTTCATGTCTTGTGTATGTTGGGTATTTGGTCAGGGAACAAAAAGCCAAGGACCACGACAGACTGCAGGGAAGACATGCACAGAGTTCAGCAATGCTAGTTCCCGCCAAGAAGGCAAATCCCGGACGACCAGCTAGGTGACACCTGACCACAAGTCACCCATCTCGTAACCATGTGGAGCCCAGACTGGTTCCTCTGACTGTCTTACACCCTTCCTTGGTATTTCAGTGCCATCTGCAGAACCTTGGTCTTGCTTGTTTTTATTATAAAATATGGATGAAAGTACCACAAGGACAGTTCAGATAGGCATTACATGCTGGGTTGCCTGTCCGGTGCTCTTTGCATACTTTTGACAGTTAGAGGGAGCTGCCTTCGGTATATTTAAGGAAATGTTTCTTTAGAATTATTTAGAGAATCTTCATTATGTATAAGTAGGGCTGTCAGACTTCAAAAACACAAATGCAATATTTACAGCTTAATTTGAGTTTCAGGTAAGCAATGAATTTCATAGTTTAATGGTGTCCCATGCACTATTTGATACATATTTCTGCTAACAATAATCAAAATTAAAATGAGTGGCTGCCATTTCCCCTGGAAACCATGGGATGTGGGCACTTGCAGTGTAGATCTGGTCCCTACTTTATAGACAAAAGTCTGGAGGATACAGAAACAGCCGCTATGGCTTGTCATTTTACTCAAGGTAAGTATAACTAACCTTCCTGCATTGTGCGATTTTAAAAGCTTTTTAAAAAGAAGATGCTAAAATTAAAGGAAATGATTTCTTAGTAATCATGAGGATACTTTTATAAAGAAAGAATATTATCCTTTAAGGCATAAGGTCATTGTTGTGATAGGAAACTTTGGGCTTAGTATTCCCAGGAAGGACAAATGTGTTGTCATTGCAGGGTGATTCTGGGGATTGAGCCTGGTCCTCCTGCACATTAGACAAGCACCCTAACACCAAGCCACACCTCCAGCCCAGAAACACATTTCTTACCTCTAGACCCAGAGCTGAAAATTCACTCTGTTACTTGCCTTTTAGTGAGATTTCTAAGTTAGGAGTAGGATCATGGGTCTATTTTTGTTACCAAACCATGGAGTGGAATTTTTATAGAAGGCAGGCTTGTTTTATAGTTGTGTTGGAACTTAGCAGGTGAATCTTGGCTTAGTTTGAACTTTGCTGGGATGAAAACTCTCTGAGACCATGTTCCACGCAGGCGTGTAGGGGGCCACTGCTTCTGCCAGAAAACACAGCATCAGAGTTCTGAATTGGTAGGTTCTCCTACGAGCACACACAAACTTGCTGTTAATGAGTCCCATGCCAAGTTCCCGTTTCCCTCTTTTACACATGGAATTTCCATTGGCTTAGATGTTGATGAGGTCGAAAGCAGAAATGTCTGATTATTATACCGTGTATCCTCATGGAAACCATGTTTCATTAGGGTTTCATGGGAGAAAAGTGGAACAAAGCAGCATTTATGCATTTGTTTACTTCAGCAAGGTATGAATCAGTGTTATGAGCTATTCAAACTTACAAAATTCAATCAAAATACTGGGGTGTCGGAGCCAAAAGTTATTGTTTAATGGCTACAGAGCTTAGTTTTGGGAAGATGAGAAGTTCCAGCAATGACTGTCGTGATGCCTGAGTGACACTGTGGTGGACTTGGTGACCCGAGTCTATGCAGGAAATGGTTAACACAGTTTTACAGGTTGGCTCTTATCTATCCCCTGAGGCCATGTGCTAAAGGGTTGGCCCCCAGCCCATAGCACTTTGGGTGGTGGTGGATCTCTGGGAGGCAGAGTCTAGAGGAAGGAGGATGTGAGGCCACTGGGGGTGTTGCTTGAAGGGGCTCTTTCGCTCTCTCCTTTTGCTTTCTGGCCTCCCTTAGATGAGCAGGCTTTTTCCTCCAAGCACCCCTTCCATGATATTCCACCTTACTCTTAAGTCCACAGCAAGTCACCATGGACTGAAGCTGCTAAAACTGTGAGCCAAAGTACATTTTTCCTCCTTAGAGGTTATTTCAGGTGTTTTGTCACAATGCTAAAAGTTAACACAAATGGTAAATTTTACAACATAGACATTTTATCACCATAGGAAAATTAGACCAAAGCATCAAAAATCATGTTTTTTGTTGGATGTGCTGATACAAGCCTGTGATCTCAGCTAATTGGGAGGCTGAGGCAGGAGGATCACAAGTTTGAGACCATCTTGAGCAACTTATAAGACATTGTCTCAAAATAAAATGAAAAGGACTACTTGGGCATAGAACACATTACTGGATTCTAGAAGACTGAGATCTTCCTAAGTAACCTGAGGTGGAACTGGGAATTGTCAATCAGAGAGCACGAGTTGGTCTTAGTTATCTCTTGGTTTATAACCTTCAATTAACACAACTACCCCTCAAATGGATGATAGCAGTAAATAGGCTGCTTATTTAACATAAATTATTAGGTCATTGTCTGTGCAAAGGGAAGAAGCCCATATATGAACTGAAGAGAATGTAGGATGTGTAAGTAAGGCTTCTAAACAGCTACCTTTATTAGCTCTGTAAACTATTTTTGGTCTTCTATGATGTGAGAGAGAAGAGGGGAGAGAGTGAGAGAAGAGAACAAGCTTTTATTGAGGGGCACGGAAGGGCTGAAGAGATGCAGGCATCTTCTGGGGGGACTGCAGGCTTTTATTTGGAACTTGACAGGGACAGAGCTGAAGGGTTGGGTAGGATGACATTGACAGTTGATTGGAGGAGTATGTGCACATGTGTGAGAGACAGGTGGGTGGGTTCCCGAGAACTGGGTTAGGCACATTCTAGGAAAACCTTGTCAATTATGTGCCTGAACTAGCTGGCAAGGACTAGAGATTAAAAAAAAAAAGCTTTTCTTTAACAATTTTCACTCCTAGTTCAAAGTCACATGCCTCCTGCACATTCATCCACTCCGCAGTTGGCTGATGGGGTTATACAGACACAGGTAAAGGCAAAGGAAGAGGCAGATGGAGGACACCTGGGTTGCACAGTAGCTTCCCAGGGGATTGCACTTCACCACACATGACGATCCAGTAACTAAGAGCGAGGAGGTTTTGAACTGGCCTGTCTCAGGCTAGGGTGCTGTTTGTCTTAAGGAGTCCACCACGTTATGAAACCAGCAGCCCACTGTATCTCGTGAATGGGTGTCTTGGTGTTTGAGTGCTGGGAGCAGGAAACTACTGACACTAACCTAGGCAAAATGGGAAATTCACCTGAAGAACAGAGCACGTCCATAGAATTTAAATAGAAATGATGTACAAATCTTGGATTGGGTAGGTATGAGCAAGATGTCCAAAGCTGGCTGAGGAAACGGGAGGAACAGGGAGAAGGAAGTAGCTATCGGAGAGGAAGATGGGGAAAGGGAGTTTCAAGTCAGTGAGCAGGTCTCTGGGTACAGCTCACACAAAGACGTGACCTGGCGATGCTCCTTGAGATCGGTCAGCTTACCAGTACCAGACATCTTCAATCTAGAGGGATATCTTATGTGATCAAATCCTGGGCTTTTGGCAAAATGTCCCGATGCCTTTTCGGACACTGCTGTTTGTGTGACCCCGTTCTAGTGGCCATCTCCTCTCTGTGCTCTCCTGTGCCACGTTGAAGCTTCCTGAGATAAACAGTTCAAATGTGCGAGCATGGGGCGTGCTTGTTAATCTGTTACACGATCACAGGACAAGGTAAAGTGACCACCTTGTCTCAGGTTTCCTAGGACAACCTGTTTAAGCACCCCAAATCCAGCACCCTGGGGTTTCTCTTGCCCGGGAAACGTGACCCTTCAAGGAGCTGCCTGTAGCATTGTTTTTTGTTTTTTTTTTTTTCCTGAGCATGGGGTAGCTGAGCAGGTGCACTGCCATGAGTGAGAGGCCAGCCTGGCTTACACGGAAGATGCAGTTTCAAAAAACAAAACCAAAGAAAAACAATGACATTCTGATGTGATGTGGGGAGACATTTCAGAGCTCGCACATCCTCCCTCCGGGCACCTGCTGTGCCTGCATACTGGTGCCTCCCCACCTCCCTTCTGACACTCGGGTATTTCTGTGCCACAGACAGACGGGCAGAAACCTGAGCCAGGCCGGCTCCACCAGAGTGCCGCCTCAGGGGGCTGGGGATTTAGCTCAGCGGCATAAGCACTTGCCATGCAAGCAGGCGGTTGTGAGTTCGATCCCCGGTACCGATAAAAAAAAAAAACAAAACAAAACAGAGTGCCGCCTCGGTCCTGTCTCCTACCCCAGGCTATCTCTCGCATCAGAACATAACCGGTTACAGTCGCATATTCCTCCCGTAAAGGACAGGAAAGGGGCGCCTGCTGTGCACACGCGCGTTTACTGAACACGGGTAGCAAGCAGGAACGGAAGGGATGCGCCGCCCTCCGCCCTCCGGCCTCCGCCGGCTCCCTGCGCCCGTCCACGGTGCTCGCCGTCCGCCGGCGGTGGGTGGCCCCGGAGGGGGTGTCCGGAGCCTGCGTTCTCCCGCGCTTTCCCTTGCCCTCGTCCCCGCCGGCGCCGGGCTGTGTCCGGGCCGCGTGCCTGCTCACCGCCCGCGTGGGCGCGCGCCGCGCCTCGAGGCTCCCGGGCACCTGCCCGCGGCTCCCGGCTGCGCTGACTGACGGCGCGGGGCGGGACTTCCGGTGGTGCGCGCCGTCCGGCGGAAGCGCGCTCGGGCCGGACCCGGGGGCGCGGACGGAGCTCGTGAGGGCGCCGGGCGCCGGGCGTCGGGCTGCGGGCTGTAAAGCGCGGTTGCGCCGCCGGGACGGCGCGGCTGGTAGGAGCCGGGGCGGTGCTTCGCGGGTGGGCGGGGTCCGGGCTGCCGCGGGCCGGGACCTGAGAGGACCTGAGGGGATCTGAGGGCCGGGGTCGGCGAGCTGGGGGCGGGCCGGGCCTCGGGCCGCGCGGCCGGGCCGAGGGCTGCAGGGGTCCGTGCGCGGCGCCCGCGGGCTGGCACAGGGGGCGCGGGGCGCACAGCGGGCGCCGTGGGTCGCAGCCGGACGGCACCGGGACCTGACGGTGCGGCGGGCGTCCGGGGCTCCAGGGCGAGCCTCGCGGGGACGTCTGGGGTCCGTGCGCACCCCGCGTGTATGCGGGGAAGGCTGCGCGTCCGAGAGGAAGCGTGGGGCCGCCTCTCCGGGCCGCTCGGGCCTTTGTCCGACGGACGGCTCCCAGCCTCGGAGCGGCTCCCGCTGGTGACCCCGGGGAGCCCGCGGGCGCCTGGCGCCTCCCTGTCCACGCTTGCTAGCACCGTTCGAGGTGTTCAGTGAATTCCGTTTTTGGCCATAAAGTAGGCAGGGAAGCTAGGGGACGCCGCAGCGACGCTGTCACAGTTGACGTCTGATGGATGTTTGGATTGTTTCCTATTTCAAGGGTTAAAAGTTGTTATTTTAAAGATGACTATACATGGTACAGTCAGTTTTAGATCTGACTTGAACCATTTCAAGTAAAGTAGAACCTTTCATGCATACGGGAGCCTTGGTGTCTCGCTGGCTCTCGCATTCCTCATGGCCCTGCAGAGAGCTACGTTGTGTGAGGTGCGTTTGCAGTGTCTTTGGTTTCGGAGCACAGGGGATCTAAACGGTGCTTTTGCATGCTAATGAGCATGTCTAGTAATTTTTCAGGTTAGGAAATGAAAACATAACACTCATCTCTACACTTATTTGAGGTAACTGCTATGACAATTTCTCTAAGTATCTTACTGTCTGGACACTACTCTTTGGTAAGTCTCAGTCCTACAGATTAAAGGCTGTATCTCCCCATTCCCCTTCTTCCTTATTCTGAGAAAAAGGCCTTTGAGGAACCTCTCTTGCCTTCCCATTAATGCACCCCGGTGCGTGATCACCTGGGTCGTCGCGGCCTTCTGCAGCTGGCATAGTTGTGTGTCTGAGTGGTGTGTGTGAAGTCTGGTTGCACAGTTTAGGAAGCTGTGAAGTGTTTGTTCTCGGTTTTAATTGTAGAGTAAATTTCCTAACTTCTCTTTAGATAAATGCTTTGTGCTGTTCTGTAGAAGTGAGTGGCATTATTTGATTAGGTTTTGGAAGTTACTAGTTACTCATGTGGGTGGATTCAAGGTTTGTTTCTGCTCAGTGAAGTGTTTCTGCGCAGGCAGAACTACCAGAACACTCCCTTCATATACACACACTGGCAGGTTTTCTTTTCTTTAGTCACCAGTTTATAATCAGCAATTTGCTGTATTGAGTTCTGTGGTTTTCCGTGCTCTCTGGTTATCGATCTTATTCTTATATGGTCTTCTCAGTAACCTGTATGTCCTCATCAGACATCCTTGCCCTTTGATAGAAGCAAGAGAATTGGAAGCAGTCGAGGATTCTGCTCTGAACAGGTGGATCAAAGTGCTGACTCCTTGCTTACCCTGCACCCAGACTGCCTGGGGTCTAGAGCAGGAGGAACAGGCTTGGTGGAGGCGCAGCCCACTCTCCTCTTAGATTACATCCCTTTCCTTTTCCTCTGCTGCGTTGGTTCTCTCATGGTGGCTGAGGTGCCTGCCCCAGGGTGACTCAGAGGAGGACCAGAGCAGTCACACAAGCCTGCCTTGTCGGAAGGAAAAGCCCTGTTCGTTCTGCTGAGCCCGAGTCTATACAGCTTGACATGTTTTCCTGCTGCCAGGTGTGTGGTTGTGGGCATGCACTTCTTCTTTAGGTTATTATTGTTTTAAACACTAAACCATACTTTAATTGTCTGTGACTGGCCTTTCCTCAGCTTGGCTCAGAGTGAGACATTACATTAAATCCCGCATGAACCTGCCTGTTAAAGTGGTAGCGTCCCAATCACTTTCCCTGGGTTCAGCTCCTGGTGGGCTGGCTCCGAGGAAGGTGGAGGGATGGTGGAGGAAAAGGTGCTCAGCCCTTGGCAGCAGAAAGCAGAGAGAAGAGAGGAGCTCGGGGTGAACACACCACCCTTCTAGTTTTCTCCCCAGTGACCTCCTCCCACCAGGCCCTAAAATTTTTTTATTTTGAGACCCTAAGGAAGAGTTATTGGATAAAAGGCTTGGGTGGGAGTGGGAGAGTTGGCCATGAAACAGTGGTGTACAAATGGTAAAGAGGAGCTGCCTTCTGTAGTTGTCAGGAGTATTTTAGAGTAACCAGCTCCTGCTGGTAATGCAGCAGACTTTTAGTTGGTTATGATGGTTTGTGTTAGTTTTGTTTTGAAACAGTTGCACCACATAGGCCAGGTTGGCCCTGAACTCTTGAGTGCCTGCTCAGCCTCAGAGGGCTGGGCTTATGGGCATGCTCAACCTCACCTGGCTGGTTTTATTAGTTTTTAAATAACCTACAGATAGATATGTGCTGCTTCATTGCCTGCAGGGCCCAGGAAGAGAAGCCCTTTCACTTCTCCTGAGTCTGAGCTAGTAGAGCCTCTTGGAGTTGATGTGGTCATTGGGGATGGTGGAGAGATTTGAGGGAGGGAGAGAGAGGAGTAGCTCATTTTAGCACTGCTGTTTTCAGTGGAGAGGATGAAGGCCAGGAGAGGAGAGGAAGCAGGGTGGCGCACAGAAGACCAAGCACCCTGTGAACTGTGTCAGCCCACAGGGAAGGGAAGCAGGACAGAAAGTCATGGAAAATTAAACTCTAGACTTCCTGCAAGTCAGTAATGTCCCTGTCAGTTAAACCTTAGCAATAGCTATTTCATACTAGTTGAATAACGTTGCAGTAGTGAAAACAGTGAGAGACTGTTCGGAGTCACCACTTGTTAACACTTTACCACATTTTATCAGTGGAGAACAAGAACATTTTTATTAAAGTAGAAGCTCATGTAAAATACATTTCCATATTGTATTGCTAACCCCATTTCTTTTCTAGTAAACACTTACCAGCTCCAGTTTGCAGAGTTCTAGAGGTGGAAATTCTGGGAGATGCTCGAATGGGTTTTGATTCCAGAACCTTCATAGACTCTGCCAGAGCCTCACCATGTTCACAGGTGAGGATAATAATTTCTTTGCCTGTTTGTTGCTTTCTGTTCTCTACATTTTCATTTGCCCTCAAAACAAGTATGTAAATACCCTTCCCCACATCTACTTGAAATCTCATTTGCATTCATTGGGAATTCCAACTCTTCCCAGCTATTTGGCAGGCTGAGGCAGGAGGATCCAAAATTCGTAGTTAACCTGGGCAACATAGTGGACTAAAGGGCCTGGGGATATAGCTTGGTGGTAGAGTGTCCCTAGGTTCCACCCATAGTACCACACAAGGGAAAAAGTGGAGGCCAACTCTTAAATTATTCTTTGACTATAGAAAATAATGGAACAACATACGTTTTTAGCACACTTAACCTAATCTGTAATAAGTATTTTATTAACCTCTCTCAGTAAGACTGTTTACTCCTTTAGGATTTCTAACTAAGGCACAATTTGTGGATGTTTAGTCAGTCTGCACGGCTCTATCTTGGTTGAGCTTTCAGGATTCTGGGTTTTTCATACCCTTTGCGAGGGTGGTAAGCACAATTTACAAGAGCCTGACTAATGTGGAGTATTAGCACTGACAGTTTATGTGCTTTTCTTAGATCTTTAGGGCAGGACAGGTGTTGTTTCTATCAGGACCGGAAAACTGAGCCCCAGAGAGGCGAAGTGAAGTGTTCAGGGGCCTGAAAGCCAGTCCTTGTGGAACTAGGGTTTTATAATCTCAGCTCTTCTGCTCCGAGCCCAGCTCTGCTGCTGTGCCCTGCTGCGGCTTGCTCTCAGGTCGTTATATGCCATATATTTGTAAATGTAACATGAGTCACTTCGGTTCTCTCATTTCTCTCTTCATTCATCAACCCACGTTGCTTTTGGGAAAACAGATTATGATATTTCCTGGCTCAAGTCTTTCTCTTCCTTCTGCACTTAAGGAAGTATCACTGCACAATTGGAGTGGGCCTGTATGCATCCCTTAATCCGATTCTGTAGCTAGTTTGGATGGCTACCTTCATGTAACTTCCCACACCAGAGGCTGTGTGACCCTTTCAGCAATGTTTGTGGGGAGTGCTTTGGTTTATGTTTTCTGCAAATTATGTAGAAATGTAGTAGCCAAAAGAAGGTGGTAAGGTCATGCTGTGATGCATATAGTTACTGGAGGAAGTGGGTTATTGCTGATTGTGTTCCTGATGCAAGCAGGCTTGGCTCTCTATCTGGAGTGTCCCATGCCCAGGCTATAGCCCAGTCTCAGGTCCTTGCTACTTTGGTGCCCTGCTCTGAGCTATGGCAGCCTCCAGAAGCAGGAGCCAAGTATGCTCTTGTTACAAATTACCCAGTTTGTGGTATTCTGTTAAAGCAGCAGAAAATGGACTAATAAGTTTCTTTTTTGTATAATCTTGATTCATTGTTGGGTGGCTTCAGTTATAAGGCTGTTCTTGTATTTAATTGCACATTACCTGTTTTTTGTTTTAATACATCATTTAGAGCATTTCAGAGATTTTGTCATCCATTTAAGATGATTGTCTCTTCTCTACGGTAAATAGGAAAGTTTGTCACCATCCTGATGATTTTATTGTGGATACACTGGACTGTCAGTGTTAGTAATTGTCCATGTGGTTTACAAGTCCACAGGGGCAGCACGCTGTAGACTGTTTCCTCCTCTGTGGTGGGCGCCTTCGCGCACTGCGTTCACATTTAAGCAGAAAGTCTTGCCTCTGTGCTCTTCAGTGAGCAAGGCTTCCACAGATTTTGTAGGAACTCTGTTAGTACTGACCCATACACAGGAAGAACCGGTTTTTAAATTGAAATCCAGAATTTTTATATATATTTGTGTTAAATTTTGCCCTTCCTATATTTTAAAGTTCACT